ATGATGATGATGATGATGATGATGAGTAGGAGGAGGAGGAAGGGGAGGGGGAGCCACCGCATCTGCAGAATCTCAACCCCCTTTGACCAAGCTGCTGAAGCATAACGCCCCCAACTGGAAAGACTACCGGACATCTGAGGAATGGTCAAGGCAACGAAAAAATAAAAACCCCGATCAACTCCTGTTCGACTAGCTCAGCAGTTTACAAACATACTTCCAGGGCTACGTAGGGAGCAAATAAGGATGTTTTCCAGTGCTTGTATGTACCAGGCGGTATTTAGTGTATTTCGCAATCTAATAACGCGAAAAGGAGGGGATTAAAGTGTGCATGCATTCATTTCAACAAAATTTGCACTACGACTGTTTCTAACAGTACAAATAACTCGAAAGGGGGATTAAGCAAACACTTTCTGGATATTCAAAGAAACTAGCATGACACCGGCGTTTGGTTACTTAGCAGAAGTATTGTGAGTGAATGAGGTTTTATAAAAAAAAAAGGACAAAACTGAAACGGCTATTGCTGGTTTCTTTGTCGGCGCTTCGTAAGACTACATAAAACCCAGTTCAGGCTAGCTGCTGGAAAACACTGAACGAAATGTTCGACTGCCAACTCATGAACTCAGGTCCTAGCTGTGACGGCTGCTAGCTGAGCCCCTAGGTGCAACCGGACGAGTGTGTTCCGTTACCCGATCGATGAACGTCCTCCACCATCGTTAATATCCTCAATCAAAATGGACAGGATAACGGACTCGTGACTCAATGGTTAGAGGGTTGGACTTCTAACAAACCCGTCGCGGGTTCCAGCTTCAGGGCTTGAAAACCCGGCGTGGGCTATGGCTGCCTGATGAGGTCTAGCTATTCAGAAACGGCCGTTAACGCCACCCTTGTCCCTTCTCATTCTGCCTATTCAAAAGTATATAGGTATGGCGTTCCTCCCATAGCCTTTTCGGCTTTTCTTTATGGCTCCAGCCGACAGTCAACACAGGTAGTAGTATGGCGGAGAGAATGTAATAGGAAGTCAATCCGATCATAAGCCAGAAACGACCGATTCAATCTTTGCTAGACGAACATTCCCGAAAAAAACCAGGGACGCTGGAATGGCGATTTCTGACTCATTAGCCGGCAGCAGCTAGCCATAAGCAAATCCCAGGTCGTAAGCGACTCGCGGTTCGAAATTACGACCTCTGGATTAGAAGTCTAACCCACTGCACCACGGGCTAGTGTTCTTTTCGGTTTAGATGGGGGGATATTCACACCGGTGCATGGACCCTCCCTAATCAGTTTCAGTACTCGCTCGTTCCGTTAGGAGTTAGGGCTTACTCTCGTCGATAATGCTCCGCCCCCTCAGTTATTCAGTCCTAGTCTCCACGCGACCGCTTCTAAGCCGGAAACCCGCGTGGCCGCTTGCGAATAAAAATTTTCCAACGTAAGTTAGTTGTCGAAAGATGTAATATAATTTATTGATAACCAACAGAGACTCGTCCCCGAGAAAACTGGCGTGGTTGCATTCAAGGTAATTAAATTACTAAGGACGAATAGGCAAAATACACTGACGCTAGAGCAAACAGAGTTTGAAACCAGTATCTTTTCTGAGAGAGAATACTTTATTTTTAAGGCAATATCCAAATATTTTCAGCAGACAATGGCTCCATTCACACAGACCAAAGGATAAGGTAAGAGATCATGGTAAAAGGTCATTTTACAGGATTCAGCTCAGTGATATTTGGAGGTATTACTTTAACAGAAGTAAAATTGAGTTTATGAAGCAGCCGCAAATTCACCACAGCTGACTATCTGGTAGACAGGGGAAACAGTCTCGACCGCCAAAATTTATACGGTTACCGGATAGTCAACACTAACTGTCACAAACCTCTTCCGGTCGTCCACGAAGAGTGAGCAGACGGAATTCGGGATTCAGGGCAGCGAGTGACTTGTCAAGGGCTTGGAGACATTCTAGCAGGAACTGACAGCGTCGGAAGCCGATGTCGATGTGATCGGGCAGGGCGGGGTCAAGTATGAAGACGAATAGGAGTTCCACACCACCGTCTGGTCTGACAACTGGAGGTTTCAGAGAGGCGAGGAGTGCTGGGTTGTCATGGAGACGTAATCCCTTGC